CAGAACATATATTTATTTATCATATGAATAACTCAGTAAAATGAGCACTCCTCTCATTATGCCTTACATGCTAAGCACAGAGACAGAATTGAAGATTGGTTTGCTGGTAACGTTATCCAGTTCGTACCAGGAAGTAGTATACTTATTTACTCATTAGCATCTATTTGCTTGTTTTGCAACATTTTCCCCTTGCTAAGGTCTCATGTCCCTTCAAGGTTAATAAATATCGGTGGAGAACAAAGGATCAAGTTCGGCGTTCGCTACAGGGCCCTGGCATGAGATGGAAAACACAACTGAAAGTTTGTTCACTAGACTGTCATACAACGCTGCATCGCCTGCTGGAACTGCGTGGCTCACGCGGAATCTTTGCCGTAACACGGCCGTGACGGACGTGACTGAGGAGTACTCAGGGGTATAGGAGCATGTGGTCGTTACGGGCGTTAATCTGATGAATCAGTATTTGCCTGGATTCACTATTAAACTTATTACCTATTAAGCATATCGTTACAATTCTGGCCTCTTTGCTCTTTTATTCACATTTTCATTCGGCCAATGTTTACTTTTACTGCCATCTTATAAAAAAAGTAAAACTAATTTAATTGAGGCAAAACCACACGCAAGTATTTTAAACGTGTCTTCGCATTTTTACATAGCGAATATATTCAGTCTGAAATCACAAAGGTAAAGTTGTTCATGTGCTTAGCTAATTAAGCTGTATATCATAAAGACATATGGGGGAGTGAAGGTATAGCTACACCATTCTCGAACTCCACACGAGATGGAAGTAAGTAGTGAGCTACACGCCACAGCCGCTTTACCAGTTGGGAAATTGTCCCCAATGCCCATTCGATAGGAGGCTGGGTGGCCCCAAAGCCGCTCTGGACGTTGGGGAGAAGAGAAAAATGTGCCCTGCCGGGAATCGAACCAAGGTCATCCATGTGAACTATAAATAAATAAAAGACTTCGGTAATCTTTGCCTGTATTCTGAATAACAATCTTGATTGTGAAATACTGTGTACAAGCAATGTGAATCACGGACAGCCATTTGCCAGGATCCGTAAAACTACGGAAAGAGCGTACTGGAAGTAAACTGTGTGTTTAATTTCTCTCTACACCTTTTGTTCGAAACGATTTCGCTCCGACAGATATCTAGCGAGCTACATGGGATGCGTATGTAGGGCTTCAGGTAAAATGTCTGTTATTCTTGTCTGATTTTAACAAAATCTGGAATATATCGACAAACGTTAGTAGAACTCCATCATATCAAAACTATATGGAAGTCCATTCCGACGTTCTCGCATTGCTACATGCGTACAGCCGGATGGACGGACGGACAGAACGATTCTAATAGGCTCCCTGCATGAATGCGACTCCGTCTAGAAAGGAGACGAAGTTTAAGATGCAATGAAGCAAAGCTTGTGGCAGCACGACCACCAGATGTTAGTTCCATTCCCGTAAGCTTATACCGTACACACATACATTCTGGTGGGAGGTGTGTTCGGAAGACGTTCATTGACTACTGAATATTTAAAAACTCCGTGGCCTGTAGTCCGCAAGAGAACTATACCGAAAGAGCGACCACCGCTTTTTGGCGAAGTTAGTGCCTCTGTGGTCTAGTGGTCAGAGTTCCTGGTTACAGATCCAGAGGTCCCGGGTTCGATTCCAGGCGCTACCAGATTTTCTGATAAGTAGTGGGTCTGGAACGGAGTCCACTCAGCCTCGTGAGGATAGTTGAGAAGCTATTTCAAGGAAATGGCGGCTCCGGTCTAGAAACCCGAGATTAACGGCCGTGGGGATCCATTGCACTTACCACGTGACGCCCCCTATCCGCAGAAGTTGACTGCTGAATATAGTCTAGCAATTTCAAGAATGTAGGCTAGCAGTTCTGGTGCATTCTTTCCCATTATTTAATTACATCGCAGATCTTAAGGTAAAGCTATCCCTGTAACAGGCCGTGAAGGCTCATAAGGTTGTGAGACATCAAGGATCCCACATTTTCTCTAGACAATCGGCTCACAGATGGCGGTAAGGTAAAAAAAAAATACCTATTCGTGACTCGAACCCGCAACCTTCCAGTTTCTAGCATAGTGCCTCAAACAACTGCGCTACTGCGTGCTCCTTCGCAAACCGTAGGACTTAATGTAAATTGTAGGGTTATAAAATGTGTTCTTCCGTGTTATAAAGGCAAAATTGTCCCTGTGCTTAACTAATTAAACACTACTCCATGAAGATGTATGGAGGAGTGGATGTGTAGATCCATATGGTTGTATACAAGAAGTGAATTTTGATGTTCGCAAAAATATGCTGCCATCTGGATTGATCAAAATACGTCGTCGCCGTTGGGTTGTGTACCAGCCATGTCAGAATCATCTTTCCTAGCTAAGATGGGAGAGGGGATACTGGAGTACATAATATAATCGCCTTCAGACTAAGCCACTCAGTACATAAGGGGATATGAACGAGTACATACCTGCGCTTTCCATTTGATTGTGGAATATACAATTCAGGTCTCGGCATCAGTTTGCGATAAGAAAGGTCTCATTCAGTTAACCACGAAATCATTTCAGCTTTACTTGATGTTAGATCTAACTGTAACTCACAACATGAGGCAGTATGGGTGGGAATCTCGAGATATTTCTCAGTATTAATAAAGTTCATAGCTTTATAACGGACACCTGTTGTTCTCCCTGATTTGAATGCAAGTGAAGCATTCAGAACAACGTAATTTCCCTTCCCTCAGTAATAATAATAATAATAATTTTCTTTTTGCTTCTGGACATTGATATGTAAACTGGGGGAACTGGGTTTCTGGAAAATGCAGTTTGCTATTCTACGTAGAATGAATGTAGGTTTCATACATGCAAGCTTATATGTATTATTACTGGATCTCCTTTTATGTCCTGCACAGTAATTCATGACGCGTGTCTAGCTTTTCAGTAACGTACTTCCAATCTGATTTCTTCCAGATGAAAAATTACTTCTCATTGCGTTGCACAGAACCCACCTCCCGGATAAAGAATTAATTTTCTTACGTAAAAGTGATATTAGAGTGTTTAAAGCAAGCTCGACTTCTGTACTGTGGAGCCCATTTACTGCTTCTCTTATTACACATTTGTTAAAGACGTTCATTTTCGTTTCAGTATTCGCCTTTACTTTCTTTCATTTATGTCACATTCTCATTCTTAACTAGGGTTTTACTTCACTTACAATTCACTCCAATATTGAAAAGGAACAGAATATTCTGGCGTCTAGAGGGTCTTCTACGCGTAAATAAGCACATTTAATGAAAACGACAGCTGATGACAGACAAATCCATCCGCCTGCAAATTAGTGCAACAAGCGGTATGTATAAGCCAATTTCCCCATTCACAATTGTCTAGCGAACGGTTCATCATAAAAGGAAAATTATTTCAGTAATTTCTTTTCTTAAGAACAAAAAGGAGGCTTATGAAATCACAATATTCAGAGTGTACATGTATATACTGTATGTGCATGTTTCTGTCCATTCGTGTGCGCCATCATTTCAAGTTCTGAAACAGCTGACCGACTGTCACAAAATCTGATACGACTATTATGCTATTGGAAGTCAGCCGTACTTCCTATGTCGATATAATCAATAATAATAACATATCGGAAGCAAAAACTTTTGAGGTGGAAGCGACATTAATGCCATCTGCTATGATAGCCTAAAATATATATTTTAATATTAAAATTTTCCTTCGGTCTTTCTCTCGCTTTTCTTCTGTAGAAAGAAATAAACAGCGGCTGCATGAACTGTTTATTGAGCTTTCGATTTTATGGCGACCAATATTGAGCCGTTAGAGCTAGGCATGTCTTTTACAATTGTTTAACCAATTCTTTCACAAAAACATCGTAACAGGATAACCTTCGCTGAAGACAAGCTGTTTGGACTTGAAGACACTTACAAAGGGGGCAGCAGAAGATGCGGTGGTGTACATAAAGGAGGAACCCACCATTCAGGAGCTTCTTTCCGCTTCCTCCATACAGTCCAACAGAAATCTCCCTCTCGGTCTCAGGTTTAACTAAAGGATCTGACCATGTAGCTTGAATGTCCAGAATCGCACAGAGAATTAAGGTTAGGTTAATATCGTCAGTCTTATTGTAGACGAAATGATAAAAGTCTGCGAACAGTCCAAGGAATAAGAAAGCGTTTTATTGTAACAGATATTAATCGACATACAAGAATCAGAATCACTGGTAAGAATGAGTAAAACATTCTGGTATTTTTGCTTTCAGGGACTGTATTTGGCGTAGAAGATGATGCTCTGATTCCCAGAGATAATTCTGAAGATACTGAAGACGTGTTGAGTGGGGAATTATTTGAGACTGTGTGATAAAGGAAGGTCTGTAACCAGTGAAATCTATAGTATGCAGTAAGTGCAGTTGGAGGCCGCGCCATAGCTCAAGCGGTTAGTCGCTGGCTTCCCACCGCGGCGGCCCGGCTTCGATCCCGGATCTGGTCAAGTTGGATTTGTGGTGGACAAAGTGGCGCTGGGCAGGTTTTCTCCTGGTACCTCGGTTTCCCCTGACAATCTTCACTCCACCAATTGCTTCACAATCACCCTCACCTATCATCTGGGGCTGGTACAATAGGCCAGAAGTGGCCGCAATACAAGGGACTTAGTCCCACCCCAGCAGCAATAAAGAAAGTGCAGTTGAATGTTGTTTGTAGTGAAAATTAGATCCGAAAATGCAAAAAACCGAACACTGTGGCTGGCGAAACTGCACACAAATTGGCAGTCGCGGATATATGAAATCCGCGGTTACCGAGGGATTGCTCTATGCATTTACAGTGTAAGTATTTAGGTTTATTTTACGAAGTTAGTATTTTCATTGCATTCAGATTTCAGGGATTGCATATCATTAGAATATCTAGTAAACTTCAACTAACTTTATATGACTTATGTAATATTTCTCTTTGAATTTGAGTATCTTCCCCAAGAGAGATTTGCGGTGAAGGTCAATATGACATCTGATGCACTTCTGACCTAGTCAATTAAATATTCACCGCGCAGCATTATACCACACAGTTTTCTGTTTGTTCCGTGTCCGGAGTTGCAAATCCTTGTTTCTACTGCGGTAGGTATGCAATAGAATTGCAAAAACCTGGACTTTAAATTTGTGAAATGCATTCAGAAATATATTTCCATAACACGATTTAATGTTACGTATTTGTTCATGTATGTATATCGAGACTGTTATTGGGGTATTTAAGCATATTTGGGCAAAAGTGTATTGATGATTTTAGGATGAAAGTGCCTCAGGAATGAGTCTGATGTTGGGATTTAGTACCAATGGAATTAAACCTCCGCGTTCAGCTACCATTACGTTAGGTGATCTCAGTCTTCTATTTTGGAAAGAAGAAATACTCTTTGAGCTCTCTAATGTCTTCTATAATTTCCACGTCGTCTGACACACAAACAGAATAATCAGACATGTATCAGTGATATGGTTTTCTTGAAATTCAGTGCACTGTACTAAAGCCCAGGGTTAGATATATTGTAGTAAAACTGATGAATAAACACTAATTAAATCCATAACAGAAGTTATAGAACTGTCGTCTTGATGTCGTGTTTCATCATTACCCATCATGAAACGAAGTTGGCTACTTTGCAGACATGTGCTGTAATGAGAAAAAGTCTAATTCTGACATTTTTTTAATAAGGTAGGTGATTAAAATTTATGAAATTTCCTTGACTTATAATTTCCTTATATTTCCTTATAATTTAGGTGCAGCTTACTTTCCTTTCAAGAGTACTACGTTCGTACTCCATGGTAGCAAAACAGGAAAAATTCGGTATGGTTATATGGAATAAAACTCGGCTTGTGCTTTTGTATGCTCGGAAGTAGATAACTGTGGGGTAGTTATTTGTTTTACTTTATGATTAGGCGTATACAGAACTGACATGGTAATATTTTATATATTATAAATGTTTCTACGAAATGTATTCAGAAAATTGTGTGAATGAGAGACAGACGTGTGTGAAAATACGTAGACTACTCAGAAAGATACAGCTACTACTGGATATATCTGCCGAACACTGAAGGCCAGGACACACCTTCTCGCCGCAACACCTTGGCAATAAATATTTTGTTACATCAGTGTGTTTTTCATACCAAATGCTTAAAAGGAAAGAGAATGGTGAAAACTCAGTCCGTCCACATGTTACATCTCCGAAAATACTGATAAGGTTTCCATTATACAAAACTCCGTGATTTTAGTCCGAAAGCGAACTATACCCGACCGAACGACCGCCGCTTGTCGGCGAAGTTTAGTGCCTACTTTTGCGAATAGAGAGTGTCGCATGGTCCGTACAAAGAATCCCCACGGCCGTTAATTTCGGTTTTCTAGACCGGAGCCGCTATTTCCTTGAAATAGCTACTCAATTATCATCAGGAGGCTAAGTGGACCCCGTACCAGACCCATTTCTTCTCAGAAAAGGATCTGGTAGCGCCGGGAATCGAACCTGGTCCTCTGGATCGGTAGCCAGGAATGCTGACTACTAGACCACAGAGGCGGTTTAAGGTTTCCATTATACTGTACGAAATTGGGTGTTGAGTTACAAGCCTTTGAAACATAATGGTTTATATACATAAATGTTCACTGCCTACAAAAACCATTTTCTTTGATTTAACAAATTCTGCACCTTGCCAAAATGATATTTAGTTATGTATGATACTCCAAATAAACAGCGACTGTTCTCGTAAACTACATTAACTAACTGGCTTTTATAATGGATATGAAATATGTTTCCTGTAACGTATAAACTTGATTTTTAAATATTATTTAGAAGAAATTTACGTGTTCCAAAGAGTTGATATTGGTTCATGTCGGTCATATAAGCTCAGAACCCTAAATTACATTAAATTTGCTCGGAATTTATAATTTTATGATCAACCCTGACTGTGCAAAGGACAGTAGACCGTCATGACAAGAAATATGTAACTTTTTTTTATTGCTAATGGGGTGGGACTAAGTCCCTTGTAATGCGGCCACTTCTGGCCTATTGTACCAGCCCCAGATGATAGGTGAGGGTGATTGTGGAGCAATTGGTGGAATGAAGATTGGCAAGGGAAACCGACGTACTGGGAGAAACCCTGCCCCCTGCCTCCAACAAATCCCTCTTGACCAGACCCGGGATCGAACCCGGGCCGCCGCGATGGGAAGCCAGCGACTAACCGCTTGAGCTATGGCGCGCCCGACAAATATGTAACCTGCTAAGATCTGAAACTTCCGCTCTTTGACATGTTTTTAGATATTGGGTGCATTTAGGTAAAGGCAATTAACATTCCTCTACTCCTGATGGCATCTGTAACCACTACAACCGTGTATTACTTAAAGTTATAAATTCTTCAAGTTAATTTTAACCATGCAAATTCATCGCAAAAAGGGTAAGAGGAAGAGAGGAAAAATTAATTTTTATCATTAATGAATTAATCTAAATACTGTAGAGCAATACAAACTTGTAACGATTTCGAATTATGCCTTCATTCTTTGGGCTTAATTCTTACTGAAATGTTGTATAGTTTACTCACACATCAAAATGACAATTTGTGACTTACTTAAAATGGCAGTCTATAGGGCGCAGAATGGATGCGTTACTTGCGAGTTATTAAAAGACGTCACTCATGCAGATCTGGTTGTCTACATTAGTCATTCCTCTAATACCTGTCTGATGGAAATGAACAGTATTTATTATTTCGAAATCTGAAATTTTATTCAATTTAGGAAAGTCTATATGATGGTGTTAGCCATCATACGCCTCATTCACATTAATATGTAGTCCTACAGTTTTACGAAAAATGACTCTTCCAACTTTGTTATACCAGTCTGAAACGCGGTCATTGATGACAGAAGATAACACGAAGTTGTGGGAAGAGGTAATAGCCTACTTTCCTTGATACGACACGGATCACACAGACAAAGACGCGTCAAACAGTACTTCTAATGTTGCGTTCGTAATCGTTGCCGCGGTAAATTTTTTACCGAGCCGCTGCCTCGCAACGATAGGTGAAGACACATAACGACACACAGAATGATGGAAGAGATTTATGAAGTACACCATTGAGATGGGCTCAGGTGTCATAATATACATACCAAGCTCTACAAATTTGGTTCAGGCATTCGAAAGTCGATAGGGGGGATATACAGACACAGACAGCGTGGTGATCTCATAAGCCTACTTCTGTTTTACAAAAATAAAGTAAGCCAAAAATAGGATCGAGATCTCATAGATAAAATTATTACAACCATTAGTAGTTAATACGTCACATGATCTCCAACATAATAAAGAAATTAGAAAAAGCTTAATATACAAAATATCATTAAACCTAATGAGAATAGAGACTCAGTTTGTTTGAACACGTTTTAAGAGCGGACACTTACCAAATACCGTACAAACTTTTACACCAGAGAGAGACAGGAGAAAGAAACATGGCAAAATCTAAGGGCGTTTGAGAGGTCAAATTCAGTCCCGGAGTCGAAATACAACGATTGATCTAATCGGTAAAGTTACTAATACATATTGTAGTTGTATATGCTTTAAGTATTCATATGAATATATATTTCAGGATACCATCTAAATGTAAGTAACATGACAAACACTTTAGCTTTCCAAAACAAGTAGGGTCAAACACACACAACTTTCACAACACGCAACGACAGCATTCGTGTAGTCCTTGATTGACACGCAACCTAGAGGCTAGGTCTAAAAACATGTTCTCGTACTTGAAATGTAACTGAACATAATCATTACAGCAAGGGTCTTCAATTTTGTTCGGCGGCAGGCAACTAGCAGAAACTTCAGTACAAATGTTTTGTGATCAACAAATCATTATGAAATTAAGCTACAAGCGGCCTCCGTAGTCTAGAGATAACGTTCCCACCTCATGACCCGTACTACGCGGGTTCAAATACCCGGCGGAGGTCCTCGAATGTTTAAGGGAGGAAAAATTCAGGGAACAAGTCCTCCGGGAGGGACTTTAAGCCGTGGGTCCCGTGTCGTAGCTTTACGGCACGTAAAAGAACCTCATATTTCCAAAGGAGTTCACTGAGCCAAATTACGGACGTTTCCCGCCCAACAGCAGTCTCTAATACCTCCGGTAGGTTGGGGAAGCATTATAGATACCTCTCAGCAAGTAGAGCCGGTCTCGCTGGCTGGACGGGACTGATTGTAAGCACCAGTACCGGTAGGATATAGAGACTGGTAGAAATCATAGAGGGAAGCACAATGGACTAATACAAATCTAAGTGCATGGGGAAACCCACCCTCTCCAATAACTAACTAACTAGATCTGCTTCAGAACCTAGTCACTACCAATCATCCCCTAGTTTTTAAAATCTTGGAGGTGCTTGTGGGCTTACCACAGGATTAGAAAGCGTGGATGCCTAAGATGTAAGGAGTTGTGGGATGTCTGACGTTGCAGAGCAAAATCATGGTCCTCCTCAAGCTGCTCCTGACAGGGGCACTCCTTTGCTGTGGAGCTGCTCGAACGACCAATAAGCCAGCTTCCTGCCGCTACTGGTGCCGGAGTTCAGTGTTTCCACCATCGTACTATTGCTGTCCTGACGGTAATTATTAGAGACATCAGGGTCTTTTGTGTTCGTTTAGCTTGCTAAGGATCGATAATAATCGAGCGTTTTAGATATAAAGAATCTGACAAATTATTAATTGACCACATGGAACCGAGTTCTTCTTGAGAAGAAATTCCCAACATCTCATGGAACCCGAATGTTCATCTTCTTGGAAATAATTCCATGTAGTCCACTGGAAGTCAACCGACGTTTCGGAAGAACATATAGGCTCCATCTTCAGGGTCAATTAAGCCGCGTAAGATACCAGCTTGAAAGAAGTTGCTTGTCATCTGCTTTCGCCTTGGTGTTTTACTCGGCTTATTCCACCCTGAATATGGAGGCGATGTATTCCTCTGAAACGTCGGTTGACTTTGAACGGGCTACACGGCGTTATATCCCAGAAGATAGTAATCGTGCTTCATGCCCTTCCCATCTCACCCTCATTTACTTGTCTATTTTAATTAAATCTGAAAAGGAGTACAACTCATTAATCTCATTTATACCATTTTTCCCTATCTCCTCTCATTTCATCTGTCTTCGTCCTCAATTTTCTGTTCAGCACTGTTTTCTCAAACACCCACAGATTATGTACTTCCCTTAATGTCAGAGACCAAGTTTTACACTCAGAAAACACTATGTGGTATAGGCAAAATGACAGTTTTGTATATTTTAGTCTTTATGTTTTTGGACAGCAACCGGAAGAGAAAATGTTCTGAACTGAATGGTAGCAAGCTTTGCCTAATTAATCTGTTCTTTGCGTCTGCATGAATCAAATTTTGGTCTGTCATTGTCGTTCCCAAATATCTGAACTGTGCCACATTTTCATTGGCTCCACTGGCCGTTTTTTGCCATAATCTTGTCCTGTATTCTGGTGATGAGACATCAATCTTAGACTGAAATTATTAAATCGGCCTTAAATATGTTTTACATTTTATCGGTAAGCAGAAGTTATTTTTAGGGAGAAAATTGGCTAAGGACCATTTTTCTCGACGATGTGAATAATTTTCTCTTATTCATAGTTCAATTCTTATCTGCATAGTGCCCAAAAGAAAGGCACTCATAGTTTTATTTTCGTAATATATATGGTAATGAAAATTGGGTATGTTATTTCAAGGTCAAGCATACACCAAGGGAACTGGCAGCAGCAACGCAACCGCAACTTTGAAACAATTTTCTCATGCTGATATGAACACGTGGAACTGATCAGCGCAAACTCTGAAAATAACAGAGGGATCGTAACGAAACTCGTAGAAAACTAACTGAACTCGGGGGCACGGAACAAAGCAGTTTTCTCACAGTAGCAATGCACAAGAGTTTTCTATTTTTGTCTCTTTTATCGTATTTTATTTATTTATTTATTTATTTTTGAGATGGTACGAAAGTTTTATTATGCCTTCAATTTTTATTTTCTTTGTTAATTAAGCAGTGTCAGATGCATATGACAAATTCCATCAAGAGCTGGCTGGGAGAGAATTTCATATGAGTTGAAAAAGTCTGATGTGTAAATATTTACATTCTACAACAGGATCAATATTATTATCTGACACTTAAAAAAAGAAGTGCACAAAGCTAGAAATGAACACACCCACTTGAGATGACGTCAGCAGCTAATCAAACGAAAGTTTCCGAAGTGTGTGCATGCTAATCGGAAAATTGGTTTCCTGCTCGAAATCGGTGACTTTACTCGAAGTTGCACTTCCGTTGCAGTTGCCAGTTTCCTCGGTGTGCATTCGCCTTAAGATGTGAAAGAAACTGCTTTGACTTTTTCAGGAGGTGTGAAGCGAGGGAGCTGTCCGATAATCGTTCAGTGTACCCGGTATATCCGGCAGAGTTTGTTACGATGCTCATCAGACAGTGACTGCGCTGGAAACAATAAATGCTGCTACGAGCCGTGTTATTGCACCTACGTGTGTCTCACTCCTGTCGTACAACCCCCTAAAACAAATACAACATCATAATAAGAACCACTGTCAATGACATACTCCAACACCACAAAAGTGTCAACTGAAATAAAAAAGTAAATTCCTAAGCACTTCACAAATTGAATCGTTACTTAGTTTAGACATCTGGTTGTAGATTCACTGAAGTACAGAGTTGTACAAGACATATCCTGAGATATAAGACAATTTCTTTTTTCCTTGGCACTACAGCCCCAGTGGGCCTAGGCCTACCTCCATGAACTTCTCCGTTCACTTCGGTTTTTCTAGATTTTACACAGTCGGTAGGACTCCTTGGGCGGGTGATCAGCTCGTCGCAAGGCCTCTATCTGTACACAAACACAGAAAAATGCGCACACAAACTAATCATCCATGCCCTGATTGGGATTCGAACCCACGATCCCGGTTTCCAAGCGAGCGAAGACAGTACATGCCTTAGACCGCTAGGCTACCGTGACAGGCCAAGACAATTTCACGAATGAAAATGTTACCACAGTCGGCAGCAACTCAGTCAGTACAAATATAACGTATGTTCTTCACATTAAGTTAACAAAATATTAGCTCGGAAGCTACTGAACCGATAGTAAGGCAAGTGTACTGTTCACTGTATGGATTGAATTGATCTGGCTCAGGATAGGGGCCAGTGGAGGGCTCTTGTGAACACGGTAATGAACATTCGGGTTTCATAAAATACTGGGAAGCTCTTGAGTCGCTGCATAATTGGCGGCTTCTCAAGAAGGGCTCAGCTCCATGAGTGAGTGAGTGAGTGAGTGAGTACTGCACATGTAGTGCCTACATTAAAAGTTACTGGGTCGATTTAATTTCGGTTTTTAAGGCTGGGATATAACATTTATTTATACAAAACTTAAAATGAACTTCACGAATTTTCTAAAAAACAGTTCATTACATAGAGTATCATACAGAGTGATTTTTAAAAAGAAAATCCAATGTCAGGAATGTTAATAACGTCGTATAGACGGATAGGGTCATTTTGACAAAACTTGTAGTCACATTGCAAGCAGTAAACAACCTTGCCTTCAGTGTAGAGAACACGTGTTCCTGACGGAACGTTGTCTCAAAACAGAGTGACTGCAGCTAAAGACATGAATGTCCACCACCAGTAAAATTTGTGGTATTGAAATCTGTGAAACAGTTGAAGTAGACATCAAATGTGAACATATCGAAACGTGTTCACCTGTTGACTGATTTTACACACCCCTATAGCAGAGGTTAGTGAGATCATGAGTGTGGGTCCGCAGAAGTCATTGCAGAAACTCGCTGGCGCCCATTTTCAAAATTGTTGTAACGAAATATATTGAAATCATCATATTTTGAAAGAATAAATTTGTCGCTTAAAAATCACTATACTGTACATACGAGTTTCGTCAAAATGGCCCTAGTCCTCTAATACGTGTTGGCGTTATTACCCAGTGGCGGCTAGTGACCATTCGAACAGATGTAGCCAATAGCAAATAAAATTTAGTCTCCCCAGTGCGAATAATTAAGGAAGGAGAGAAAATTTTGTGTTCTTTATATGCTTATATTTTAGGAGTTCTATTTTATGTCGTATAGTGCCCTCCAAGTTTAGCAAATATAGTCATTTGGGTTGATAAGAACTTGTTAACAAAAGAGCTTCGCCCTCCTGTGATCTTCGATTAAATACGTACGTTAGACCTCTTGGTTAAAGCACATTGTCCCCTTGTGTTGCAGCACTGGTACATGAGATCCAGAACTTCGTTTTCTGTACATTTTTATGTGATTTTGCCACTGTAGCATTGCTCACGTAATCTTCGGACACGCCATCCAGTTCAGCTGTGAGAGAAAGCTAATTCAAGGAGATTCTTCATTGAGGGATTCGTCTGTGTCATTGTGTCCACGTAACATTAACGCATAAACGCAAGGGAATTTTACATAATTTCATAGTGGAAAACATACTTGTAAAAAATAAATATGCAATTTATAATTCTGATTAGAAAATATCTATTTATCACCTAGATAATTGTGTCTCCAGAAAACAACACTGTAGTCCTCGTGAAGTTGAAACTAGATGTTAACAGTGACAAATATTTCAAGTTTTACAGCATTGTTAATATGTGGTAATGAACATTCATGTTTTCTTTCTCCACCCTTTTCTGATAAACGTGTTAAATCTGTATACCCATTCCTGGTCCATACAGATCCACTGCTAAAGAGTAAACAAAAAATGCTTCCTTTTCCGTACGTAGGTGACCACGCATTTTTTTCAACTGACTCTGTGGTGATTGTTCTTGACTTGATGCACTCTTCTGGTGTTATTTGTGTGTCCTTCGGTTGGAAGGCATACAATTTTTTAATGTGTAAATTTCTTCTACTGTCTACAGCGAAAATGGGGTTTCAAATACATTTTCTATGGCATTCAGGTTACGATCCCGCCACACTGATATCGTGGCGTATATATCCGTTGCTAGGCAACGACCCTGAAAAAATACGAGACAATGGCCGTTGCTAGGCAACGGCCGGCACTCCAATGGACTGTCTGGAGAGCAGTGTTTTCTGTGCGGTCCGTGCCTAGATGTTATAAGAGGACAACTAGCCAGTGCAGTCAGAGAGGGCCCCCACAATAACAAGACCTAACTGTCAAACAGTAATAAATATCTGGTCATGAGCCCAAGATTGGTCTCCACATCAAGACTGACTGACAGGCTGACGGTCAGACGTAATGTGACTTTGACTTTGACTTGACCTTGCGTGTCGTAGGCGGCGACGAAAATGGAAGTCTCAGATCTGAGACAGTAAAATATGGTCGCGAGTCCCAAGAGACTCGGACCCGAGAAAGACTGCGCTGGCAAGGACCAGAAGCATATACAAAAGATAGATCCGTCCTCTGGTCAGAAAGGGCGCCCCCAGAAAAACGACCGTAAAAGTGAAACGGTAATAAATATCTGGTCATGAGCCCAAGATTGGGCTCGACATCAAGACTTGCTGACTGACTGACCGTTAGTCGCAATGTGACTTTCACTTTTGAGTGCAGTGTAGGTCAAGCATGCGACCGTTCAAGTGATTAGACTCTCGTCAGAGAGGGAGGTCCACAAAAACAAGACCGAAACTGTCAAACAGTAATAATTATCTGGTCATAAGCCCCAGATTAAGCTCGACGCCTAGACTGACTGACTGACTGTTTGACCGTCAGTCGCAATGTGACTTTGACTTTGACTTTTAGTGCAGTGTAGAGTTGGTTGGTGAGTTACTGATTAGAGAACTGAGGTTCGGTCGTTGTGAATTGTTGCTGTTAGAAGCTTGTACGTGAGGCCGGGAGACAGTTCGGGGACCCAGAGGAAGGAGAATGTCCACCGTTGGAAGCCATTACCAGAAAACAGGTGAAGACACAGCAGGCTGAGAAGACTTAGTGCAAGCTGTAGTGAACTGCAGAGCGTGTGAATTAGCAATAGCGCTGTAGTTACTTGTAGTTATGATCTGTAATTGGTCAATAAATCGAGTTACCAATGCAAACACCGCCTGTAGTCACCCATACACGTGACAATATAAAGACACGTAAAATAATCACTGAATCTTATTAACTCGCTCACAAACAAAAACAAGATACAAGAGAGCAGGCCGCGCCATAGCTCAGGCGTTAGTCGCTGGCTTCCCGCCGCGGCAGCCCAGTTTAGGTCAGATGGAACTTGTGAAGGATGAAGTGGCAGTGGGATAGGTTTTCTTCGAGTACTTCCGTTTCCCTTGCCAATTTTCATTCTGCCAGTTGCTTCACAGTCACCATCATCTATCATCAGGGACTGGTACAATAGGTGGCCGCAGTGCCAAGTGGACTCAGTCTTATCCCATTACTACTACTACTACTACTACTACTACTACTAATAATAATAATAATAATAATAGTTAAAAGGGGGACACCTACATCCTATGAGCCTATTTTTATCCTCAATTGTTTCTAAGCTAAAAATAAAAAACTGGTTGTAATTATCTAAAATATAATACATAAGATTATTTCCTTCATAAAAATTATATTTTTCAGTCATGTTTCAGGAGTTCGCAACTGCAGAATGAACATGAGCTTCTGAGGAGCATTACCAAAAGAGCAAGAAGTTTCTCTCTTCTCCACAGAATTCAGACCGATTCTGGAGCTCAAATAGCCTCATATTCAATGGGTCACACGCCTCCATCTAGTGTTGAGGTTAGCAATGCGTGCAGTGCCTTTATACACGTACAGTGGCGACTAGCTGAGCTCCTGCATTTATCAGCACCGCCTTACAGTCCACTACAGGTTACGTATCCACATTCTTGTGGGGCTCTGAGAGATCACACATCCTGTCTTACAAAATGAAAATTGAATGTTTTGTAACGTAGCATGGAGTGACTACAGACGGAGTTTTGAATTCTATATTCACTTTTTGACCATTTATACACCCCTCTCTGAACGACAGGGAATTACAATATCATCGCTAATCTCCACACATTACAAATCACTACAGAACACGTTAAGTCTTTTCCAGCCTGCTATGTCTTCACCAGCAGTTCCCTTGTAACGGCTTCTAACAGCGGAGACTTTTCAGCTTCCGCGCTCAAGTCCTCTCTGAACGGCGGTTCCCTTCCAACTGATACTTTTCTTCACAGACTACCATACAGAATTGACTTGGTTGCTCCAATTGCCTTCCTTATAACTCCTCAGTACGGACCGAGCAGACAACACTATTCATTCTTGTATGCTAACCATTTCCACAGGAATGTGTTTACCGAACCGTTCCCTAGTAGCAGCCTTCTATTCTTGCTTAATAAGAATCTGCTACCTAGGAACAAACGTCATGTCCTTGTCTGTTTCGCGGACGTTACCTAGAAACGAATATTTCAGAGCCGTTCGCTAGCAACAGCCGTTTCTCTGGCTCCACAGTTCTTGCGTTGAGTTCTGCGCTCTACAGCATAGTAAAGACAAGCAGCGGCACGTACACAGAGAGACTACACAGAATAACACCGGTACAGTACTAGAAACAAGAAGTAGCCGCTGCAGCACTATAGACATAGGGCGAGTAACCCTGACATTTTTAAATTTTAAAATTTAGAGGAAAATTGAAAAGATTTTAAAATTAGAACTGAAGATTTTATAAGTGCTAATTCAGAGAAATCAAAATTGATGTGTGTAAATAATAAAGACATCAACGAAGTAGATTTTGGTAATAACGACGAAAGGAACAATCAGGAAGACCTGTGTTTTTAAATTTTAAATGTTAAACTAAGTGCAGTGTGACAGATACGTGAGTAATACACCTGATGATGGCCGTTTGTGGCCGAAACATGTAGTGTGTAGGGGAGAGCAAAACGAAAGACCTATAATATATGGTTTGCACTGAAGA